ACACACACACACACGCGCAGAGTTATGAAGCGCTCTCGTCTCACCGTATGACGTCCTTGTGCCCGTTGCGAGCGGCGAGGTGCAGCGGGGTGGTGAAGGCCGAGTCCATCGGCTCCTTCCTCTCGCCCTCCAGCAGCGCCACCACCATGTTACTGCTCAGCAGCAGCTGGGCCACCTGAGGGGAGGAGTCAAAGAGAAGAAGTTTCCCAGAGTCAGAAGCTCCCACGGTGCATCGTGATTCCTGTTTCCACAGCAGAGCCAAAGCTCGGGAAGATTCAGCTCATTAACACAGATCACAAACAAACATCCCATAATTATAAGATCACCAGCTCCCTGTGACTTGGACGTTCTTTCCTCAGAGTTTCAGTGATTTCTATTCAAAATGATCCAGGACACGGTGACGTCAAACCAGGGATCACGTTCACGGCCGATCACACACGAACACGTCAGACTTTGTTTCATGGACGACAGAGCAAAACAATAACAGGTCGTGGATTACTCGTTTCCACTCGTCTGGTTGCAGAAACGCGTGGACAGCAGGGCGATGGACGACCTGTGCTATGTTGATAATTATGAAGGTTTGGGTTGATATCTCCCACACGTGCTCGTGTTTGTCGTCCCAGCTGACGTCAGCTCCCTGTCCTCCCCGTTCTAGAAAACAGACTCCTCCTGAGCGCTTTTAAACTTCCCAAATTCCAAATCCTGAAGTTTTGGGCTTCAAGCAGGTTTATGAAGGTTGATCCTGGACGGACATCCTGTGAAACAGGAAGTGGAGAAAGCTGAGACTTAAGATGAGACTGGTAGACACGTAGCACCTCTTTACTCTTTTTGGTAATGACTGGACTGGCTACCATCACCATCATCATCGTGAGCCTGTGCGTGCGGACAGCTGACAGGTCACATAATGAGTGCTAGCTCCGCCGTCGGTCCATCAGTTGTCAAATCTTCCACGTTCAGCATGTTTTCGTTCACTCGCTACACCGACGCACGTCTGTGCTCCCGTGTTTGTGGGGACGCCGTCTGTAACCCACAGAGACAGACTCCACCCTCCAGCATCCCCGTGACCAAAGACGAGCGTCATGAAATCCTGAAAACGTCGAGTGAGAGGATCTGCTGTACGACACGTCGGCTCTGGGCTGCTGTCACAGCTGTCTGTACCACATCTGTGCTCCTCTTCATGGTTCCTCTTCTTTGTGAAATCTCTTTCCTCTTCATCAAATCCCAGCATCAGCACCGGGGCTTTCTGCTGCTGCAGACTGGGAGTCCTGAGCCACTGGTTTATGGAGGCTTTGAAGCATTTTGGCCGCTGGGCTTTTGTGCAACGGCCAAATTGGAGCGCTACGCTTTCGGCTATGCTAGCTGATAAAAGCACGTAACTGATTACTGCTCAGTAACATCCAATCAGCCTCGTTGGATCGTCTGTTAGCACAAGACCGTTTCAAAAAGCTCCAACAGCACAAACACATGACTCAGAACAAAGATGGCTGACAGGAGGTCGTCTACAAATCCAGCCTGAAAACAGAACGATCCACCCGATGAGCGCGGCTGGAAAAGCAAAAGTGCTACGTATGTCTGCAGTTCATCTTCTCTTTAAGACCCGCTTCCTAAAAGCACTCTACTGTCTTACTGGCCCACTTCTGGAAGCCTACAGAAGGGCAGTACTGTGAACTCCGCCTCTTCCTGCCACCGTGGAGGCTCCTCACACAGACTGTGGGAAAAACTTTAGCTGTGTCCCAAACAGTGCTGGGTAAGTTACATTAAAAAAGTAATTAATTACTAATTACTTAGTCAACATTGTATTTAAAATACTTCTCTAATTACTGTGTCAGAAAAGTAACTTAATTACTAAATAAGTAATTTAACTAAACCTTGAGTGGGCAAACAATAGAAATTAAACTCTTTGAATAGTAAACACATTTTTAAAGGCGGAGACTCTGCAGCACGCAGCGGCAGCATCTCTTCCACAGTGTCGCCTGCAGTCATTTTTAAGCACCGTCTGTGCTGCTGAAGTAAAATCAGGTTTTGCTGCTCAGCAGGAGTTGCCGCGGTGATGGATGATGAAGGATCGCTCAGAAGTGTTCGTCTGTGCTCCGTGTCAGGCGCTTCAGTAGGTTACTCCTGCTATGAACAGCAGCCCATAGTTTGTACATATTACTGTAATGTTCTTGTCTGCTTGTTTCAGAAAAGTGAAGAGACGGGAACATGTCCACGTCATGAAACAGCCACTCGTCCGACAGCTTCCGCTGTAGAAAACGACCGTGCAGCAAACTGGTGTGACATGACGCGCAGCTGCGCTACAGCGACGTTAAAGAGCAGAGTTTACTTTCACATTTAGACGACAAATTATTGAAATTAAACAATGACATTCAGCGAGTTTAATTATTTTACAATGTAACGCAAGCACATTGTAAGTAACTGTAATTAAAATACCTAAAAATGAACAGTAATCAGTTACTCTACTTTTTCAGTGGAAAAGTAATTTAATTACAGTAACGCGTTACTTAGTAACACATTACACCCAACACTGGTCCCAAAACGTCGGCTGCATCCTTCAAAGGACGCATTTGAAGGCCGATTACGTCACAGCCAGGCGACGAAGGCCGTCCCAATTCATCGACTCCTT